TGCACATGCAGACAAAGAAAACACGCAGCCGACACAGTTTATCCATTTAAATAAATCCCCCAAATAGGATTGACTTACTTACTTTGAGTCCTGCATAACTGGGTCACCGTTGCTGAAAAATACACAAAAATACAAATACGCTGCCTATTTTTCATTTTTAGAATAAAACTTGCTTCTTTTTTTTTTATTGATTCAGGTTTTTGGATAGGATCAACTGTTTTGTTCATTTTCTGACTGTAGAAAACACGGACTGAATTTATCCGTGTGTGTGCAAATGGAACAGCAATATTTGTCGCCTGAAAAACATTTATTTTCTGAGGGCAAAGGCTTAAGATTTCAATTGAATTCTTTTAAAATATTTCTTTAAATTTCACTATAAACACACTATGACACAAAAATATGAAATATTCAGGACTATTTAATTTTTTAAAAATCCAGTTTGGTTTTTATGAGCAAAGGTTTTGATTTTTAGGATGCAGTCATAAGATATACAATTGTCACCATCTTACATTTGACCAACACTTATCTCCTAACTACATTTAACTTAATTTTACTTGTTTTGAGGCTCTAAAAACATTAACTGTGTGTATGTTGTGAGGTTGTAAATTTGCCATTAAATTAACATTTGAATTTTTGTTATTACTTCTTCCACTAGAGGCAGCCAAAATTAACACCATTGGACGCAGCATTTTGTTTAAAGAGCTTTCTGTACTTCAGTTTTAGAGCGCATGCATAGAATCAAAAAGTGATTTTTTTTCTGTTCGTTTTCTTCCTTATTATATTTGTAAAAAAAAATACTATTACGAAGCTTATTACTGTCCATGAACCACAGCGGTGGTAGTTTCTTTTTATTATTATTATTTTGCTCCTTTTAAATCAAGCCCATTCTGAGGAAAAACACCAAAATCTATGTTAATTACATCCTAACAGAGACTCCAACTTGTGTCAAAATTATGACCATGAACTCATAAATTATCTCTGCACAGACGGTAAAAGATCTAAGTTTTATGTTCAAAATTCTTGATGCAAAGTCCAGACTTTAATCCAGCTGGAAGCACTTGAAGCAACCAGTTCAAGAAAGTAAACCCACCAAACCTGCAGCAGTAGCAGTATGCTTCAGAGAAACAGGTCAAAGTTTCTTGGACTGGAATTCACACAGAGCAAATGTTCGAGTTAAGATCTATTACTCTATAGTTTTTCCTCAAGAATAAGCCAGTATTCTCATAGAGGTCAAATCTTCCTAGATAAAATAAAACAATTAAGGACAAAACACAAGAATTTCCAAAAATATTAATGGTATAAACAACACAAGAGAACAGGGAAATGCATTCTGAAAGAGGCTGAGCATCACATCAATCATTTGATTAACTGTCCTGGCTGCACAGGAGTTTGGTGTTTACTTGTCACAGACACCCCGGTGTTCCTCTGTCACTATCTACTTAAGCAAGGTTAATGAGTTTCTTTGTGCCAACAGAGAAATTCAATAATCTCGGACTACTGTTACAAAGAAATAAGTAATGAGAATTAGTCTGACACAAATAAACCTCTCGATGCTGTTTATAACCAGACATTAACCTGGGATTTCAAAGGTGAGTGCTGAAGTTAATCTGATCCGACCCGCTTCCTGTCCGGAAAGTTGTTGAAACGCAAGTATTTAAAATTTGAATATTTGAAAAAGTGTTGAATTAACTCTATTAGGAAAACGGTTGGACTCTTCAGCTTAGTAATATATTAGTTTATAAATAAATGTTTCATTTAATGACCCTGTCTACATCAAATGCTAAACCTGCAAAAACTAAAAACAAACAAGGAAAGAAAACATTCTGCACCCGTCAGGCGTGTCCCTCATTTAATCACAGTTTAGACAGCAGAACAACCTCCTCAGCATCCAAGTGTGCTCCCTAACCAGCAGGTCACCAGTAGGTCACAAGCCTACTGGTGACCTGCTGGTTCTTGATGTAGTTTCTCAATTAAACTACATCAAGAACTAAAAGTCCGTGTTAGGATTGTTGGTTCTGCTGTCCTGCTGATTTTTGCTGTGTGGAGATCTGCTTCTGCAGATCAATGAGAAACCAAAGTCTCTTCTAGCTTCCTGAGTCCAAATAAATCAACAAATGGTACCTAATGGCATCTTTTTGTTTTTATTTATCATTTGGACACGCAGTTTCAGTATGCTTACAGGTGTTTATTTTCTCATCTGAAATGTGTGCACCCATTTGGAGTTTTATTGTTTTTAAAAGTCACAAAAGTCTTAAAATCTCTTTTAATCTTTAGCAATGGCTTTATATTATTAAACATGATATCAAACAATTGAAATTTCAGATGAGTTGCGCTGATAGTCATTTGATTAGCTGGCCTGGCTGCGTCAGGTGTTAACTTGTCACAGACACCAGGTGTTTGTTTGTCTTTGTCCGCTTAAAGAAGGTCAATGAGTCTCTTTGTGCCAACTGAGAAACTCGGTGTCAGTGACTATTGTCACGGAGAAATAAGGAACGAGAATAATCTTAAACCACTTAGGGAATCTGTGGAGGGAGATGAAAATTAGGGTGATGGCAGAGGCCAAAGAGTTGGAGATACAAAATAAAAACGAGAGTGGAAACACAACGCAAAAACCTGTTGAGTAATTGTAAGAAGCACTTGATGGACAACTCTGTGTTTTCTGTCCCCTTTGCAATGATCGAGTAAAATCCAGAACAACCACCTGCATCAGGAAATCCCCCAATTAAAAGACAAACAGAGAAATGATACTTAATAAACTCAAGTGTCTTCTGAAGCCTTCAAAAGTGCATCATATAGATCATATAGAGAAGTTTAAAGTTATGTTTGGTCATAAAACCAAACCAGCAGGACAGAAGAGGCAAAAACACCAGCAATGAAAGAAAGACACAAGGGGGAAATGTTTAAAGTTTTCCACAAATGGAGAAAACAGTCTGCGACAGACTGGCGACCTGTCCAGGATGTACCCCGCCTCTCGCCCGGAACGTTAGCTGGAGATAGGCACCAGCACCCCTCCCGACCCCCCTGAGGGACAAGGGTGTTCAGAAAATGGATGGATGGATGGAGAAAACCAACACTTCACTTCAGTCTGAACACACACCATCCTTGCATTTACTTATTCATTTATTATTACATTGTGGCAGCAGCATCATGCTGTGGGTCTGCTTTTCAATTTGGCGCAGGCTTTGCTTTATCTTTCTATGTTGTATCTTGTGTCGTGTTTTGTCTCATGCTGTGCATCGTCGTCTCCCTGGTGATGGGAATTCAGGCGATATTCCCATGTTTTACACAAATTGTTTTGTGTAAAACAATTTCCTCTTTGGGGCAATAACGTCTAAAGTCCAAAACCTCTTTCAGAATAACAGTAAAACTTTTCACAGTTTTAGATGAATGGAGCCAAATATCCAACACTGAGCTTCAGCTGTTTCACAAAGAAGGCTGGGAAAAGACCAGGATGACTTTTCAAATAATAAACGATGGGATGACAGGGCATCCCCAGAGGTTTAGGGTTGTAAAGTGACAAAAAAAAAAAAAAGTTTTCAAGGCATCTTAAAAAGATACAGAAAAGATATTAATTTATGCTGAAGGTATGGATATGAATCATTTAAAAGGTTTGAAAACTGTGAGACGAGCAGCTGAGTGTGCGAGCGACAGCAGCGCTGGATAATCACTTGATTAGCTGTGCCCTGACCGTGTTGGTGGTTACCTGTCACAGATACCAACTTGTTCCTTTTTCACCATCTACTTAAGCAAGGTTAATGAGTGAGCTTCTGCCAGCTGGGACATTCAGGAATCTGTGACTACTGTTACCGAGAAATAAGTCATGAGAATTAGTCTGACGTGAATAAAACTTATCTGTGCCGTCGGCCTATACATTAAGTATAGAGCGATGATGTGCAATAAGATATTATAATAGGCAGAAACACAATCCTTCACTTCTAAATTACTCCAAGTAGCTCAGCTGCTTCGCCTTGCTTGAAAGCGGCTCGGTTGCAGATTCAGGTGAAAATAGACTAATAACAGAGGACAAATGACCAAAAGTCCTTTCACTTTATCGCGGCTCATCTGCTCCTATATTTTACGACCCACTGTTTCAAAGCCTCAGCCAGGTAATGGATCTTCTTCCTCGGGAATCGGTCCCTGACCCTTTTATCAATAACCAATGAGAAAGGGGGGCTTAAAAGGGGCAAGAAGGCAGCTGGGAGACGGAGTCAAATGGATCTATGGAAACCACACTAGCAACTGGAGAGCTATACATTATCAGTGTTTAATGCAGGTTAACAGAAGGTGATGTCTGAGGGTAAAAAAGGGATCAAAGGTGAGATCTGAGCTGTCGAACACCTGCAGACGAGAAATGGGTCATTTTATTTATGGAAATCTGATGCTTTTAGGGGAATTAGTTCCTTCGGGACAAACAATACAAAGCCGTTCGCAGCTCTCCAGGATGAGCCAAAAAGCAACAATAAAACGTCTATCAGGCTGCGTGAGTGCACGGCTAAAAATAGACGTCTACCTGTGTGTGTGTGTGTGTGTGTGTGTGTGTGTGTGTGTGTGTGTGTGTGAGCTCAGCCATGCTCGATGGATGGGATTATACATGCAAGAGCAACGCAGAGGTGATGCGTTTTTAGCTTTTCATCATTGCACAGCAGCTGAGGCTGTTGCGTCTCTCCATCCGTCCTCCTTCTCTTACAGCGATGGGGAGAAATAAAATAAGAATCCAATCTGTGTTGCAACAGAAAGGACTCGGAAGGAGATGCATGGAGAGGATTAGAAGAGATATATATATAAGGACAGAAGCACATCCTCTGATGACAGGAGAAGAGTGCAGTTTACCTGTGATGAAGGAGAAAGGGTGGAAAAAAAGGGGGAGGAAGGAAAGGAGAGACAGAGGTCGACATTTTAGAGGTAGATAACACAAGGAAGGTAAAGTTCAGGAGGTATAGAGTGTCGCCTAAAGGATCAGCAGATAGCTATCAGGGGGCAGAGGTGCAGGAACTCAATCCCAGAGCCAAGACAACAGATGATAATAAAACCTCCTCACCTGAGCTCATCACAAGACAGAAATGGACAGAAGCATCAGGAAAACAGGCAGAGGAAACACAAGGAGCAGAAAAGCAGAAGAAAGGAAGAACTGAGCTCTGATTCTACTCTGGTTTCATTTTATGATTCAGTTTTTTTTTGTTTGTTTTTTTTTTGTACCTCAAAAGTAGAGAATGTTGGAACATTTTCTTAAAGCACAATCTGACAAGTTCACTTTTATTTAGCAGAGTTTGGGAGGATTTTTATTTTCAAGAAGCAAGCTGACATAAAAACCAAGCCGCCGTGGTGCAGAGCAGAGAAGTGAAGGGAAGAGAGAGGGCGAGGGAGGGGGAGGAAGGAGAGAGCGTGGTGTCTGCGCGTCTGCGCCTGTCACAGCGAGATGTTCATGCTCATTCGAGAGCCGTCCGCCGGAGGAGGCGGTGGATCAATGAGCGCACCGCAGGAGAGGAGCGCAAAGCAGGTCTGTGAGCGGGATCTGGGTTTTCGACTCGTCTCAGCTTGTGTGTGTGTGTGTATGTGTGTGAGTGTGTGTGTGTGCGTGTGTGTGTTGCTCTCTTCTCTCTGCCAGGAGAAAAACGAAAACTAAGCTTTTGACTTTTAATATTTAGATGACGTGTGTACTGTACTCAGTGCATTCTCATCGCAGCAAGCGTTGGAATACATTTTGTGAAAAGTTGCATTTTTATACAGAGGAAATGTTGAATGATGCTTTGAGCTTAAAAAAATTGCAACAGTTTTGACATAAACTGAGCTCCAACTTAAACCCTTTTTCCAGTGTATATTCTTGTTATTTAGTGCAGTCAGTCGGTTAGAGTTCTTTATCTGTTCACTTGAGATTGAAGATTCATTCATTTCTTGAAGTAGTCTTACAAAACGAGCTGCTCTAAGCTGCCGACTTTCCTGTCATACGAATGTCACGTTTATTTCCTTCAACCAGAAGAAATAACACGTTTTAACTCTTTCTTTCTAAGCCTGTCACAATAAGCAGTAAATCAATTAATCGCATGATAAATTAAAACAATAATTTCCATTTGCATGGTGGTTTCTCTCTCTCTCTCTCTGTGTGAAAGACTAGTCTCAACTAGCTCCTTTTTCAAAGCACTATTTTGTTTACCGAGACTTAAATATCCATGTTTGCTGTTGTTTATGGTGTTTTGTTGATTTATTTGGGATATTTAAAACGTCTTCCAGTTCCAGTGTTAAACGTTAGCTAGAAATTAAGGTTTACTAATATTTGAGAGAGTGTGTACTTGCATCAGTATGCCACCGTTACGTGACGCTATCCGAAACAATATAATTGCTTATCGTAATAACTTCTGGGAGAGTTTATCGTCTGCCTAATCCTTTGCTTAACCCCATCCAGGTTCAGGCCGCGATCAAGAGGAAGATGGAGAGGCAGAAGAGGCGAAGCATCGAGCAGGGCATGCTCATCGCTGAGGGTCAGGGCGCCACCCATGTGCCTCTGCAGCGTCAGAGATCCAGACAGGCGCCCCAGACAATGGCGGCAGAGGCGGCCGAGGACAGCGAGGCGCTGGAGGAGCAGCTGGAGGAGATGCTGGAGGGACCTCGCAGGACCAGCGAGGAGAAAGAGGTTGAGGAAGACTCTGCTGACCTGCTGCCCATCGTGAACTCAGTGTTCGGACAGGTAGGACGGGAAAACGTCGGTGTGCGTTTCTGTGAAGTGTTGAGTGTGGCTCTGTGTGTATTTGTGTGTGTGTGTGTGTGTGTGTGTGTGTGTGTGTGTGTGTGTGCTGGTCCTGCATCAAGTTCTTCAGCTTATCGAATGTCTCGCTTTTAACCTGATTGAAACCCAACTCCCCCAGTTCAAGTTTAAAAACCCAACATGACCCAAGTTTGCTCCTGATCTCTGATCCCACCCAGTCAAAGCTTTCAGAGCCAAAACAGAGTAAATATCATTTTATTTAACCCAAAAACCTTGAGTAGAAATTTTGGGCTGTACTAACAAACAGAACCGGAGCTAAGGACGCCGACAGAGAGAACTTAAGTTCCTCCATGTTGGAGAACATCGGTAAAGCTTAACCCGTAACAGATACAGCCGATGAGCTCGCTGTCTCTGGTGTCGTCTTATAAGCTCAGTATCACATCACGTCCCAACACCCAGATGGTCAAAAGGAGACACAGGAGACGCAGGATTATGGCAGACATCCGTCACGGCTCAGTCAAACCACCACGATGTGGGAAAGTGTGTGGAAATACCACCGAGCTGAAGTTGACCCCTGACCTGAGCTCACTCCCTCAGACGTTTCTCTGCAACCACGCAGACGGAGTCGCATCCACCTGACCACGTCAGAAAAACTCTGACGGTGAGGTTCGCAGCAGGAAGTCGTACATAAGGCAAGGGAAAAAAAAAAAAAAAAACTTGAGATGTGAGTGGTGATGCAAGTGATCCAAAAAAAGAAGAAATCTGCTGAGTGAGTGGGAGACAGAAGTCGGGGAAGTCTGGAGAGAAGAGAACAGAGCGAAGCCGAAGATTGGATCAGTCAGTGCTTCATTACATGAAGGCTTAGGGAGGACAACCACAGACCCTCGGCCCCCACATAATGAAACGGAGGGAAGCAGATGGCTCGCACAAACCCGGCATCTCTTTAAAATGTCTCACTAAAAAAAGGAGACGTCACATTACTTTATTAGTTTAAACACATTAAAATCTCAGAGAAGGTTCCCTGAGCTTTATGAATGGGATGGGTTGAAGGAATTGTAATATTTTAGAAGAAAATTTTACAATTTCTTTGTTTATTTGAAAGCTGTATTTTTTTTTAGAAATTAATCTTAATTTATTTATTTCTGCCTTTTATGTTTGTTACATGACCAATACAAAGCTATGCAGTTCATTTGTACAAGTAGGTAGCAGAGCATCCATCCGTTCATTTCTCATTCATTCATATCAGTTCCTTTTCTTTCTTTTTTTAACTAAAACCAGGTTACTTGAGGAGTTCTGCACATCTTTAAAAACAGGGGTTTTTTCTATCCTAAATGCAAAATCAATATATTTTGTGCAGTTTTGACTTAATAACTTAATTTCTACCCTGACTGTGTTGTTCAAATTGGCTTTTTTAAGTCTGCATACTTCTTTTACTGATTAATCGATTTCTAAATTAGCTGACAATTATTTCAATAATTGCTTCGGCCCCACATCCATCCATCCATCCATCCATCCATCCATCCATCCATCCATCCATCCATCCATCCATCCATCCCGCTCATCTTTGCATGATCACAATGCAGCTGGTGTCTATTTCCAGTGGCCATTGGGCGAAAGGTGGGGTAAACCCTGGACAGGTCGTCAGTCCATCACAGAGTAACACAGCATTGTACCACACACTCCTATCTTAGAATAAATCAGAGAGACCAATTAAACTTCATGTTTTTCGACTGTGGGATGAAGGAAATGGTGCTACCAAAAGAAATATATACCAAAATATATCAGAATTTTTATGTATATCTGAAGATAAACTTCCTGTCTTCCATCCTCTAATGTTTCCGTCCTTATTGGTTGAAGATGCTTAAAACCAGCTGATGTACATCTAACACCAGATCAGTACACGCCCCACCCTCACACACACAAAGCAAAGGACGGAGTCGTGTTACCTCAGATCGCTCATATAACCCATGACACCATGTCAGAGTCTTGTTCTCGTACCGGGTTGTTGACCCACCCAGCGGCTGCTGACGTGACCGTCAGCTCTGAAACAAGCGAACAAAATGTACACAAACCCCGGGACGTAAACAAACACACACGCTCACCTACTGAGAGGTTCTAGCGGAGTGATCAGTGAGAGCAGCAGGAGAGAACCAGGCTGGTAATTAATCTGGTCGGCGGTGCCGAGGATCTTCAGTTGCAGCTGTTGGTGTCGGTTCTGTTGGGAATAATTTAGATGATAGAAAAACTCAGCAGTGCTGACAAGTAGGATTAGCGCCCATATAAATATTTAAAGAGCAGCAATTCCCCTATTATCAATGGTAGGATAGAGATGTGAGAAAGGCTGAAGTATGTTTTAGTTTATGCAAGATTTATTCAGGAACTCATTGAGATGACTGCATCCAAAAAAACATTTGGACATTTCAGGAAGCACTTTTTAATATGTAGTACGAAACAAAATATGACACAGATGTAAACCTGCAATGCTAGAGGGGGTGGCACGAAGCTGAGAGGTCTGTGGTTACCTTGGAGGAGCTGCAGAGGTCCACAGCTCAGGTGGGAGAATCTGTTGACAGGACAAATATTAGACTTAAACTCCACAACTCAAGAATTTAAGGAAGAGAGTCAAAAAGAAAGCCATCGTTTAAATGAAATCATTAAAAAATCCTGTTTGCAGTGAGCAACAATCCATGCAGGGAATGGAGGAAACACCAGAACACCCGAACTAAACTAATGAACAAAACTAACACTTAGACTACACACAGCCTCCACTAACAAACTGATACACAATACTGCCAGGCAGCATCACGCAGTGGGGATGACTTACTTCAGTAGAAACAGTGAAGCAGAGTAAATAAAGAAGAGCTAAATTATGAGTTTGAGCTTCTGTGAACATAAGATTTGTCAACAATTTCAGTCTCTAGAAAGCAAAATAAAAAATAAAATAAATAAATAAAATATACGTGCAACACTTTCCATTTTGCACGAAAGAAAATCAAAAGCATGTATGATGAGCTCAGTTACTGTTGATCCGAGCCACGAAATACAAACATTGAGGTTTGAGCAGTGACGTGCGGTCGTCATCATGGAAAAATAATATTTATTTATAAAGATATTTTTACCCTGTGGTTTTTACTATAAAGTACCTATTTTTTTCATTTAATTTAATCAAGTCTGATTATTTGTTTCTTCAAAATCGCTGAATTTTCGCATTTTCCCATTCAAACGCTTGGAAGCGAAGCCGGTGAGGCAGCAGCGAGCTGAGCCTCACCTCGGATTGCGCAACCTCTCGCTAACTACACTGGCTGCCATTCTGAGAGCATGCTCCTCCTGTCTGTACGCCGGCAATAAAATGGTTAAAAACATTTAATGTATGAACTGATTTTCCATAATTTAGCTTATGTATTTAATGTACTGTGTTTTTATTGTCGCTAACTGTGTGTGTAACGTGTTTCGTGTGCTGAGGAGCGATCAGAAACCGCAGAGAACAGATTCAAGGTGAGTCAAGCAGTTCTCTTGCCTCATCGCTGGGGGCGCTCATGAACCCAGACATTGTGACTCCACAACTGCAGAGTAAGAGACAGTAACAGCTTATATATTGTTACTTATATTATGTCTATGGAGCTAGCCATATAGTAGCTGCGCTGATACAGAGAGCGAGAAAGACGTGTTTTTGAGTTGTACATTAACAGTTTCTCACTTTGCTGTTAAGCACAGCACGAAATTAATAATATCTAGATGTCTAAGTTTGATTGAGATAACAGCATTATTCTGCGGCGCGGCTAAGCATCACATGTTAAAGAATAGCCTTTTTGCCCTCCAGCATTCTACGCATGCGCGAAATTTCCTTATGTAAACAATAACATGCAGGGGGTCTAGATTTGTAAATCCGATTATAATTAAGTCGGTGCCTCACCATCATTCTCTCTTCTCTCTTTCACCAACATTTCTTCACACTACTAGTTTTCACAGTTCCTTCCCAATAATCTTTTGCATTTTTAATGACTGTATTTTAAGTCAAGTCAAGCAAAGTGAAATTCAAACTTAACTTAAAAGGCCTTTCATAGCATAAAGCATCTAGGACACTCACTTGGACTCTGCCTCGTTTGTCCTTCTCTTCTTCGTTCCCTTTTTTATGCCTTTTTAATCAGACATGGGGATTAACGCCTGTGTGTTTGTGGTCTCCCAGCTCTTCCTCTTGAACTCTCCTCCCTGAACCCGTTTGAATCGTGGCCCAAAGGCAACAGAGAAAGAGAAAGCAGAGGAGGGGTTGTTGGATGGGTGGGTTAGAAACCCAGTGGGAGGAGGAATAGTGAGATGCTGCGAAAACAACTGCAGGGTTCGGTGGGCTTTATTGAGTTAGCTTGTTGTTTGGTGGGAACTCATGCATGGATTTCATCTGAGCAACATATTAGGAAAATAAAGGAGAGGACGGGAGAAGGCAGCTGCAGGGAGGAAGTTTTTTATCTGGAGTTTTGGTGATGGGAAACTGCACAGAAAACATCAATGAAAACCAAACTCCGGAAGGTAGGAGGAACTTGTTCACTGTTGGATAACTATTTTATTTATTTATTTATTTATTTATTTATTTATTTATTTATTTATTTATTTATTTATTTGTTTGTTTGTTATTATTTTTGGTGAAAATGTATTTATTTCCTTTTATTAATATTGAATGAAATAAAATATTAGTGAAAACTTCACTTATTTCAGTAACTCGATTCATAAAGTAAAACAAATGTAGAGATCAGTTACACACTGACTGATATTTTAAAGACCTTATTATTTAATTTGGGTGATTTTCCAATTAATGTTAATTTAAAATGCAATCGTATGTTTATAATATTAACAAACAAACAAAAAAAAACATATCAAACTCATAAATTTAAGTTTGATAAAAGAAAGTGTTTTTAGTGCCTGCTTGAAAGTTTGTTATTTTTTTAAGAGCCTGTTTTAATTTGTCAAAAGAGCCTCGTGGAATCATGTTGTAATTTATCGCATATAATGATTTTACAGCCATTTCCCATTTGTGCAATACTTCTAATTAAGTTAAGAACATAAAGCACAGCCTCCTTCAGAAAACAAAATCAAATCTCCAGATTTGATTTTGTTTTCTGTCCAGTAAAAAAAAACTAGAAGTTTCAGATACAACACAATTTAACTTTGATTTAACATCCCAGAAGATGCGATAAACAATATTCTTTTATTTTCCTACAAGATTAGGATAGTGTAATAAGTAAAGAACGCTGGTACTTTCTCCTCAATTTATTTTCTCCTTATTGAAATCTGAATCCATCATATGATTTGTTTTATTATTATTTTTTAAATTAAATTTTAAAACATCTCCTTATATCTGGGGATCTTTCAGATGTCGGTGACTCCTCAGTTTCCTCTGGATCAGAGCGTGGTGCTTTTTCAGGCCTTTTATTCTGCTTCATGTTGTCAAACAGACTCTCTTTAAGTTATTTCCTTTATTTTACAAATATGGTCGTAATCACCATTTGAAAACGCTTTTTGCATTGATCTGAAGACGTTACGTGTAAGATGAAAATCAAAAATATCTTCTGACTAATAGAATTTCAGCAGGCTGGAGACAAAAAGACAAGCATCAAAATGCCCTCTGACATATTTTGCAGAATAAAACCTGACGTAAATGTGAGCTAGGATTTCTGTGAAACACTGAGGATCTTATATAACGTAATGCTTAAAGTCCCATTCGGACTCATGTCTGCGGGCTCAGAAAACACGGGTCCAAACCTTGTTTCCTTAAAGAGATTACTCAGGTTTTTGTGGCAGTGAGAGCTGTGATCTAACAGCCTGCTGTGTCTCTATAAGAAAGCCATGCATGGGACCCTGCGGCGCAGGCCGAGGGGCCAGCAGGGTCTGCGGCAGCCGGAGGACGAGGAGAATCAGGATACGGAGGACAAGACGTTCAAGGACTCCTTCAGGTCGCTGATGAAGAACTACGAAGTTCTGCACAACATCGTAGGCCTGGCCTGCGTCTTCCTAAAACAGGGCTTTGTTCAGACGCTCGTATGTAACAGGCAGCGCTCTGTGTCCTCTTTGCTAAGCTTTTCCACTGTCGGCTTTCATCCCCACGTCTGGGCCCTTCATCACCCTCCTCCCTTCATCACACAGGCCCAGGTCAGACAGTCAGCAACACGCTCGGAGGGATTGATTACTGGCTTTAATGGAAAATTATCGAGCGGGATTTGCGAAGCTTGTCGCTTAAAATCTGGCACAGGCCAGAGTGTTGTTTTCCAACTGAGACGAGTGGGCGATAAAACAAATTAGGTCTGGATAAGAGAGCAAAAACATCTTAAATTATCTGGCTGGAAACTCCGAAAATTTTAAAACATCTCCTTAAACTGAGAGTTTTTGGATGTATTGATGGCACTTATTAGAAGTTATAATTTTTCTGCGTTATCTTTTAAACGTCAAATATGACACGGCAATAAATCAATCCATCTATATCTTCTATTGTGTAAAAGCCACTTAATGGCACCAACCTATTGGGCAACATAGAGACACACAGACAGGACAAACAACTATGCACGCAGACGCACACACACGCACGCACGCACGCACGCACGCACACACACACACACACACTTCTAGGAAACCAAATACACCAATTAACCAAAAGTTCAAGTTTTTTGAACTCTGTAAGTGGACATGTGCTGAAATCATCAAAAGCTTTTTAAATGAAGCTGTGAACAGGATAATGTACAACTGTCATTTGTAAAAAAAAAAATTAAAAAAAAATCCAACGCAACCACTCATTTTAAGAAAACACCCTAACACACCATCGTCTTTGTAAAACATAACAGTGGCAGCATCATGCTGTGGTAACGCATTTCTGTACCAAGCTGGTGGGAGTTGAAAGGAAGACAGATAATGCTAAATAACAGGCTGTCCCCTAAAAAGACTGAAAGCTAACAGCCTGACAGTGACCTCAACCTCACAGAACGGCCCAGTCAAAGTCCAGAACTAAATCCAGTTGGTAAACTGTGATGGCCTTCATAATCTCCACTCTAACAGATTCAATATGAGACATTTTCTCAAGAAAATTTGACTAAATTTTAGTCTTGAATATGTAAAGTCCCTCTGATGAATTTCCAATGACCAGTTCTCGTTCCAAAATCACAGGAGTCAGTAGGTGAGAGGTGGGGTTAGTTTAGCCTGGTGTGTGAAACTAAAAGTAAAAAATGGCATTTTTAACTATTATTTAATCAAATGAATGTAACAGTGAACTCATTTTGGTTCTGCAAATGAAACAGTTGAAATTTCAACCCATAAAAACGCATCATGTTGTGTTCAGCTTCATTTCATCTCTGTTTAGTAAGCTGACGTGTGATTTCTTTTGTGCAAATTTTTTATTATTTTTATTTTATTTAATTTTTTTGATGCAGCTTTGTCTCTCCGATTTACCAAATGATCTTAGAGTTCCTGAAACTTTTCTCTCCAACAGGACAGAGAGCTGAGACCAGAGGAGCTTGAAGGTGAGACGACAGCAAATCAAGCCAAACCTCAACTTATTTTAATGCCTCCGAGTAAAAAAATGTTTTCCGTTCGTGATCAGAGCTCCGCATGGCGTTTGTGGAGTTTGACAAGAACAAGAAAGGCTACATCAGTCACAGAGACCTGGGGGAGTGCATGAGGACGATGGGATACATGCCCACCGAGATGGAGCTCATCGAACTGAGCCAGCAGATCAGTGAGTGGAGCGACTGAACGCAAATCATAGAGAAATGAAACATGTATGACACCAGGTGGTTTTTGACATGGGGAGGAAACTGGAAGGAAGAAAGGGCGTCACAAAGAAATGTAGCTTATCAATTTAACTCGATCCGAGATCTAATTTTCTCCGAACCAGCCACTATGTGAGAAAATATGCTGGATTTTATGTGGATTAGTCTGTAACAACGAGCGAGGGAACAGTTCGTATTTGACTGTGTGTTTGTGTGTTTCAGGTGGAGGCAAGATTGACTTTGAGGACTTTGTGGAGCTGATGGGACCGAAGCTGCTGGCAGAGACAGCGGACATGATCGGAGTCAAAGAGCTACGAGACGCATTCAAAGAGGTTCAGATAGATAAAAAAAAACTATAATTATTATTATTACAAACATAAAGAAATGAAGCCACTGTTACTAGAGATATTGAATGATGCAGTTCATGCTGGTGTCTCACCTGTTGCTGCTGGAACTAAACTTATACACAACAACATCCAAAAATCCATCATTTAAAGAGTCAACTAAAAAAAAAAAGTTTATAATTTAAAAAAATGAAGGTTCTGAAGTGGCCTAATCAAAGTCTGACGGTAAATCTGATTAATAAGAATCAATTTTAAAAAAATCCAAAAAATGCGATGGATGCAATCAGTGCAGTATGCATATGTTTTTTAAAAAAATTGCTAGGACAAAATAACAATTTTATTCTCATTTATAAAAAAATAAAAACATAAATCATTTATTTGTAATCATCTGTCATTGCAGTTTTATTTATTTTTTTTAGTTCCCTTTACCATTTTCACATTAATAAATTTGAAAATGTGATGACAGAAAAGTGTTTGGAAAGCAACAAAGGGGCATCCGCTTTGCTTATTTTGCAGTTGGCTGTAATATAACAGTGACGCGAGGAAACAGGAAATCAGGATCAGGAATTTACTCTTCCTTCCCCCAGAATGCTGAGCTTTTTGTCACATTTGTCTTCCTGTCTGTGCTGCAGTTTGACTCCGACGGCGACGGTCAGATCAGTTTGACGGAGCTGCGTGAAGCCATGAAGAAGCTGATGGGCGAACAAGTGACCAACAGAGAGATCAGTGAGATCCTAAAGGATGTCGACCTCAACGGAGACGGCCAGGTGGACTTTGAGGGTAAGAGAGAATTTCGACACGACTATTTCAGCATCCATGTTTACATTCGTTTCTCTGTTTTCGTCTTCTCAGAGTTTGTGCGGATGATGTCTCGCTGAGCAGCCCAGCTGCCCCACGCAGGAAAAGGAAACACAGTACTGCAGTGAACTTTATTTTTATTGTGATAAATATATATATTTTTATATTAAATAGTGAAACAGGAAGAGATATAACAAAGGCGAATGAAAGAATATGAAAAGCAGTGCAATACATATCAGTTTCACAGAAGAAAAACAATTATGATTTCCTGTTTTTTAACATATTTTTATATGTGAGTGGTTGGTTTTTGAGTGTAATGTTTGTAAAAATGTAAAAAAATGCAGATTTTAATAATGAATAAAAATGGACAAAGAGAAGCCAGTACATGGAACACTGAGCTTTATTTATATTTATAGTGACCAAATGGGGAAGAAACATGAGAAAACACCTTGTAGAGACTAAATATTGTTTCAAAACGTCTCGATTTAGCATTTTTGTCGTGGGTTGACTGAAACTGAAACATGTTTTATGAAAGGTCCATTACAGAAAGACAAGAAGGAAAAAGAAAACAAATAAAATAATAAACTGGATTTGTATTTTATAGAGCATAAGAATTCACACAGCCACCTAAAGCATTTATAGCTGAGGTGTTTCTATCATTTCTATGGTAACGTGTATAAAGTCCTTTAGCTCGGCATGCAAAGAGCTTCTACAAACATTTGTGCAAGAGTGGGTTGATCTCAGGAGCTCAGTGGATCCCAGATTGGCACCATGATGGGACGCCACCTGTGCTCTAAGTATAATCCTAAAATGTCATGACTACTAAACATTCTGCACTCAACTCTTGTGGTATTATAACATGTTAGGAATAACAACAACACGGCCATCAAGTGCTAAGCCAGATAATAATCAGTGGGGTCAGCAGATGTTGGGGTGGATAGTGTGCAGAGGTCACCAACTTTCTGCAGAGTAAACAAACTACAGACGTCCAAACTTAACGTGGATTCAGTTTAGCTCAAGAACAGCATGTAGAGACCCCTTCCTGCTTCAACATGAGTGTTTACCGTTCACAAAACAAGCTCCATAAAGACGCGATGACCTGCACAGAGTCCTGTCCTCACACTGATTACACCTTTGGGATGAATTAGATCTGGGATGACAAGCAGGCCTTCCTGTCCAACATCAGTGTTTGACCTCACAAATGCTGCTATGGAAATATGATGCAAATATTTGTTAAGCACACTATTAAACCTGGTGGAAAGGCTTTCTGGAGAAGTCAAAGCTGTTGCAGCAGCGTAAGGTGAGTCGACATCATATCAGTGTGATGAAATCTGTGTCTATAAATGTTTATAAATGCCTGTTTTAATAATTAAATCCCATTCAAACTTTAATATGCATCAATGTGTGCAGCGGAAACTGTCTCAGTGCTACAGCAGAAGCTAACATCTGCAGCCAACGTCTCTGCTCCTGGTGGCTCAGTCGATCATTACCAAGGGAAAAGAAAGACGCTTTTTGGATTGAGCGTCATTAAGCCTTTGAGAAAATATGTTACATAATAATATAATATATATTATAATAATTTGTGTTCAAGCATAAAAATGAACTCTCCCAAAGTAAAAGTGTGTCAATTTAATAAAGCACTACCGTCACACAAAAAAAACATGTTTAAAAAAATATGTGTATGAGTAACTTACTGACAATTTAATACTTCATCTTTTAAAGTGTAATAGTTATTATTATTACTAGACAACTAGGACTGAAATTACAGAGATCAAACAAAAAATGCATTAAAAATATAAGTGCTAACTGAATTTCTGTCAATAAACATAAATAATCTAAAGGGTGAGACGTTTCACTCATGCTACATTTATTTTCCTAATTAAATCATGATTCTTTTACTGTATTTTTTTTCTCTCATTCATTGGTTTGACATTTTTGCACAATCTTCATTACAAATGTCTGCCATCAGCCAAAGCCAGTGATTCCAGTAGGCTATACACCATTATATCAGATGATTGGCAGCATTGGGGTTCGAACCTGTTTTCTCTGCTTCTCTATAAACTACAGATGTTTTTTACTGAACATTGTGTGACTGGGAAATTTTCAAAATTTGATTCTGCACAGCATCATCCGAACCTCAAAGCTTGGTTATGTACGTAAAAGCTTTAACACCGTCATAACCTGGCTGTGATGTTGCTCTTTTTTTATTATTACTACTGTTTTTTAATAAGTAACAATGGCAAAAAATCTTTGAAATCAAAGTTTTTCTTTTTATTGAAAACTTGGCCAAGATTCTGTACAGCAGAGAGGGTTTGTAAAGCATAGGGGCAAGAGGAGACAGGGGCGGAGGGGGCTCCGGGGGACTCAGTTTCCCATGGTGCATCATACCCTGAGCCGAGAATCGTGTGTGTAAAACAGCAAGAGGTACTGAGTTTCCTCTCTGGTGTCTCAGAGGACTGTGGAGGGGGTTTGAACTGAGAGAGTTTAAAAAAAAAAGGAAGAAAAAGGGGGAAGCAAAGTGCAGCCCAGAGGGGAGAAAGAGAAAAGTAGAGACAGAGAGGGATGGAGGGTGGATCTGGTGGTTTTTACTGGTCCAGCTGGTCGTTCCACAGAGGTCTCGTCTCTGATCGGGGGGGGACAGACACAGACTTTCTCCTTTCACTTCGTTAGATCACAGACCTTCAAGAGGCACTGAGACGAAGACCTCAGACATCTCTCCCCCGCTCCCTCTTCCTCCGCCCCTCTCCCTCACTAACGCTCTTTCTCTTTCTCTCCTTCCCTGAGCCTCACTTGCTGGCCATGGTGTAGCAGCCGTGTGGGTGCCACTGCATGTCACGGATACGCCTCACGGACTGGAACTGGGGGTAGCGGGCGCCGTACTCGTTGAAGTGCCTGTAGTCGCCCTTCTCCAGCAGGTACTGGCTCCCGCGGTATCCGGGGAACTGGTATCCCACCCAGCTGGGGAGAGGAGCGGGAAGGGAAGACGGGTGATTAAAGCTGGGATCTTTGTTTCCCGGATCTCCTCTTTGGTAGTTTAGTACTCACGTTCCACAGCCGACCATGATGCTGCCCACTCTGTCTGTGAAGCCGTAGGAGAACAGGCTGGGGACGTCGTCGTCCATGATCTCCATCTTGCGGCCCTTGAACTCTCCCACCTCATACAGGCAGATCTTGTGCTTCTCGGGGTCCTGAGGGTGAAAACGTTGAGAAAATTAAAGATCTCGGATTTTAAGGAAACAGAATGACATCAGGGGAAGTTTTTTTTTTTTTCGTACCATTCTGACAGGCCTGAAGGACAGCAGGTAGTCATTCCTCTGGCAGTTGCTCCAAGAGTCCCAGCGGGGATACTCGCCCTTCTCCAGGATGTACATCTCACCGCAGAAGTTCATCTGCTCAAATCCAACGAAGCTGCAGGAAAACACAGAGTCAGGAGACATCAATGCAACAATTTAGGCAAAAAAATTAAATAAAATAAAACACGTAAATGTATGCACGCTGGCTGAAACTTACGGTCCACACTCAACGCGCAGGGAACGCACGCGGTCCATGCCCATCTCACACACATTCATGCACTCATTGACGATCTCGATCATGCGACCCTGGAAGTTCTCCTGATCGAACACGTACATCTGGGAGACACAGAACCGCAGAGAAACTCACTCGCTATGTGATCATTAAGTTTATGTTAACAGAGGGGAAGCTCGGCGAGGGCTGCAAACCTTGTAGGACATCATCCCCATCTCAGACTTCTTGCCCTGGGCGGCCTTGCCGTCAGTCTGGGGGGAAGGTTTTGCCCTTTCTCCAGGGGACAATAATTTTGGCAAAAAAAAAAAAAAAAAAAAGAAAATAGGATTTGAGTGAAGATACAGAAAAGACTGGACTTCCAGGTGTGCAGCGTACCTTACCTGTCTATGTGTGTGATGCCTGCGCCGAGCCTCACTCAGAGTGTGTGCGGCTCGGAGAGCGCCCCTCGCTTTTATACGCTGGCGCCCACAGGAGGAGGATTAGGCGGAGAGAAACAAACCTGCTGAGGTCAGAGCGGGGGGACAAAAGAAACCCCTCATCATCAGAGGGGGACGGGCAGAGAGGTGGGACAGAAGCAAGGGACGGGACGACAAATGTGGTGTAGCTGCCACCTCTTAAAGGATCATATTTGTCATTTTTGGCTATTTTATCGTCCTGTTTTTATCAGCAGGTCCCAGACAATAAATGGTGCTAGTCTGACTTTGAACAATGCAGTTTAAATATGAATTATAACAAAGTGAGAGCATGTGATTAGTGAAGATTGTGTATAAGAATTTTTTTTTCCAATGAGTTTAAAAATGCAAGGAAAAACACTTATTTTAGGGCACAACATTTATTCTTTAGTTATCCAATCCAGTTGTTTAGTAGATTTGCTTCTCCAGCTAATCGTGAGCTTTTCAGCTCTCTGCTTTAAATGCTGCAGCAGCAGACACTTGGCATCCCAGCGAGGCTGCAGCTGGCTCAAGTCAGGAACGTCAGTGGGAAAATTCAGAACTATTGTTCTGCAAAAGAAGAAAAATAACCCAAGTAGGAGCAGACTATATTTTTAGTGCTTGTTTGAGTAGCAGCTTCAGCTTTTTACAACCTTTCCAATCCTAAGAACTGTTTCACCAACACAATCAGAACTACAGAATGTTATTTTAATGCAACAACAAATAAAACGATCCCACAGCTTTCCAAGCAATGTTTCGAGAGTTTTAAATTATTGCTTTTCTAATGTCCTGTGACAGCTAGCTGTGCTACAGTGCAAAAAATCAAATCATTATCATATAAATGTTTCCTTGATCTTTCAGAGATCTATAAATTGCCAGACATTATTGATCAAACAATGGCGTGCAAACAGCTATCTGAAATTAAATACTGACAAAGACTTTCAGATGTTATGAAGCAGCATATATACATTTTTGCAACCTTCTTTGCAAACCAATATAACAAACATGAGTGTCATTGTCGACAGCTCTTTAGGCTTTGGTCATCATCCTAAACAACCGGTTCAAAATTGGTTTAATCATTAAATTAATATTTCTAAATTAAGATTACAGGTGTCAAAAATGAGCTTGAACTGATGATTTGTGCTTTTGTCTCATTTTGTTTGGACTGTTGTTACAGTATTTTTATATGTCTTAGAAAAACAGATCAGACTGTGTGAAATGCAGTAACAAGGAATAGGGGAGCACATTACCGCTGTCCTGGCCTCCTCCTTGTTACTACATGATGCAGTTTTAAAGTATTGGTCCTGACAGTCAGGGCACTTCAACCCCTGAATATTCTCAGATTTTATTACGGCCTTGCTGTTCTTCTCAGAGGTTGTTGGTGACTCATTTTAAAACTAGTGACGATTGGGCTTTTCAGGCCTCAAAGCTCTGTAGCTCTGTTCTTTTGTCCCTGTGCTGCATGAACCCCAGTGACTCCTCCAAGACATTGTTATTCTGACAGGTTTTTAACTATAGATGGATAGTTTTTATATTCTTGTTCATTTGTCTTTGTGAAACACTTTGATTTTAGTGTCTGTGATAGCTGCTACAACTTTTACTTACTAAATTTTACTTATACAAGAGAATTTCAGCTTTGCTATTTCAACTTCTGTCTTTCATAGCAGTGCTTCCTAAAGTTAGGGTAGAGACCCAGTTATGGTCAAACTCAGCAAGAGTGAAGTTCGAAATTACAAATTTGATTTTTTTGAGGCTTATTTATGCTACTACTTCAAATGCTGTGCTGATCTAAAGGTACTTAGATCAGCTGTTTTCTATGTTTCTATGTCACATAAGAAGCAAAACGTAAATAGCAGCTGTACTTCCTTTAGAAACACAGCTAAACACATAAGCACAGAGCCAGTAGCAAAATGAAAATAGCCAGAGGGGACATAGCAGAGTTGGTAGCAGCAATAGTTCCTCCCATTGCTTTGTCTGGGAGAGACGAGGTTAACGCAGAAAGACAGGGCAGGTGTATCAACTGTAGAAAGAGAAACCCAGGCAGGTGTCAACACTACACACAAAGACACGGTTTAACATAGAAGTTACACCTGTTATTTCTAATGAGAAAGAGGAGAAAGTTTCAGAGTAAGGAAATATTCAGTTCAGTTTATCCTCCAGCAGCCCAAGCCTATGGCAGCATAATTACAGTGAAAACTCAGGATAGTATCAGTGACTCAAATTAAAAACTTTATCAAACGGGACAGTTTTAATTCTAGTTTTTGCCTCATGGACAAAAATTGGAAGCTGGAGACAGAGAGGAAGCGTCTGATAACTGAGAGGCCTGTCTCCCATCCTCCTATTATAAACTCAAAGAACCTGCAGTCTGAGATGAAACACTCAGATTTCTATCCACATAATGAAGCATTATTATTACTATTATTATTATTATTATTATTATTATTATTATTATCATTATTAAGGGCTTTATATGTAAAAAGAAGGATTTTGAATTCTATCCTGCATTTAAAAAGTTCCCAAGTGAAAATAAGAGAAATGTTTTAATCTCACATAATTCTTCTTAAATGTTTTTAACATTATTTGTACTCCTTTATTTGTGAATGACGGCAATGTGTCCATTCTTTTCTGTTTTAATCGTTTAAATCATTACATGACAATTAATTAATTGAATTTACTCATTCTTATGTAGCCCAGAAATTTAAATCTGTTGGTGCTTTTTACAACTTTTTACAACTAAGTCTCAGCAAAACAAAAAGACTGGATGCAAAAATATGCAAAACTGAATATCAAAAAAAAAAAAATTCTGTCTTGTAACAATTATGATAAAACGATTCTATTAACAAACATATTTTATTTATTTTTTGTTTACTTGAGACCAAACCAAATCCTTCTAACTTGTGCTTTGCGTCCAGCTGTGGGATCCAGACCCCAACTTTGGGAACCACTGTGCTAATAAGCCACAATGAGAAAGCCAAACCAGACAGCTACCTGTGCACGTGCACCTTCACCAATTAATGCGCGTGAGCGGTAGCACCTGCAGACTTTAAAAATCTGAATCAGAAAATATGACTTTCGCCCTCTCTGTAACATTTCTATACATTAGCTCGGACCTTCACAGATGTAGTTGTGTGTGCCACCTTAATCCCCGCCCTTTGTGCCGGGCAGGGCGCTGGACTGCTGACCGGGGTCCGAACATGCCGGAGCGCCTTTTGTTCTCCAGCGTCAGGGGAACTATAGGATCTGCTGAGCTGGTCGATGCGGCAGGACAACAGCGTGCAGCGGTCACAGAGGGTCGCCGGGGTGCGCGCCCGGCGAGGCGTGGACATTTTCACAGGAGCTCATAGAGAGACGCGGGCGCGCCCCTGTGAGCGCGCCTCCCGCCCACCCGTCGGTATAAAACTGAAGCGCCAGGTTCTCTCAAAGCTCTACGCGAGGCAGGCGGTAGGCGCGTATCACTCCGAGCTCTTCCAATAAAGTGCCAGAATAGGTAAGGAAATCTCTGCTCTATCAGCTCAGGGTCGCTCTCAAATCCAGAAGCACTTTTACTGCAACCAGAGCCCAGATCTCCTCCAATTTACACTTTTTAGTAACAACCAGTAGACGCAATATACGATTCTCAAATGAAAACCACCATAATTTATACAAGGAAGAGATAATCTAAAAGTAAGACGCTTACTGTTCTGCATTATTTCCCTGTCCTCAATCAGGAGTCAAGATGTACAAAACTACAAGGTCCCCAATGATGCAGCCTTTGGTCAACTCAGGAATGGGCATGGCTCCTTTCTTCAAGGTAATCTGTCGCTCCTCTGCACACAAACAGGAAACATGGAGTAAATAACTTTTTCTATGATCTGTTAATTTTGTGCTCAGTGTGAAGGAGAACCAACCAGGTTAGGTAACTTGCTCTGTCTCCTCAGGTGACTGTGTTTGAGCAGGAGCATTTCCAAGGAAAGTGCCTGGAGTTCACCTCCGAATGCTGCAACATCCAGGAGTGCGGCATGGACACCATCCGCTCCATCAGGGTGGAGAGCGGAGCGTAAGTCTCTTAAGATTTTTTGGAGTGACAGTAACAAGCTGCACAAGTTGAATTTAGCCAAAACAATATCTTTATGTACAATATATTGCATCGCAACTGTCATTACAACTTTAATACTTGCAAAATTGCAAACTGCAATGGAGTGTATGGATGCAGTATTTACATTTCAGGTAGAATGCTTTCAAACTCTGCTTATCTATAACATACTTGACCAGTCAGGTGAAGCTTCACTGCTGTTTATGGCCACAGCTAACATAGATCTTAAAGACTGACATCATTGAGAGCAAGTAGGGGCTGGTAATGCAAAAGAGACTTCAAAATAGGAAAATCTGGGTGAATCATAATTGATACCATCAGTTTAATATATTCTACTTTTCAACAAAGCAACAGAGAGCCCTCTGATAAGCTGGTCTGTCTCTGTGTCTTTGTGTGAAGCTGGGTGGGCTTCGAGCACCACGACTTCCAGGGCCAGCAGTTCATCCTGGAGAGGGGAGAGTACCCCCACTGGGACGCTTACAGCGGAAACATCTCCTACCATGTGGAGCGTCTTATGTCCTTCCGCCCCATCTACTGCGCTGTGAGTACATCGTCCTCACCTTGTCCAGCCGACCGACCGGCTGAGAACGTGAAGACATGATCGGTCTCTGTGCTCTTGTCCAGTCCCACCAGAGCAGCCGCATGATCATTTTCGAGAGGGAGAACTTCATGGGCCGCAACGCCGAGATCTGCGACGACTACCCCTCTCTGCAGGCCATGGGCTGGATGATGCCTGAGGTCGGCTCCATGCACGTGCAGTGCGGCGCGTAAGTTCTAGCTCAAAACAGGATCTACAGATTGTCCTCTGTTACTCTCTTTGACCCTGTGCCGTCCTGTTGCTGGCCCCTTGCAGCTTCGTGTGCTACCAGTTCCCTGGCTACAGGGGTCAGCAGTACATCATGGAGTGTGAGAGACACAGTGGAGACTACCAGCACTGGAGGAACTGGGGCTCTCACTGCCAGACCCCTCAGATCCAGTCCATTAGACGCATTCAGCACTGAGAGGAGAATGGGCTGAGATTGAGGCCAAGCAGTTCCTCTCCCCTATACCTGCAAACCCCCTCTTCTCCCTCTTTCCCTCCCCTCATTCCTCTTTTTCCTTTTGACTTGAGCCGCCCCAACCTGACAACACCGCACAACGATCCAGAGCCGCTGCCAGAGTGTGATAAGAGACAATATCGCACTGTTAAAGCACAGGGAATTACACACTTTCACACACATGCTGACATTAATGACGCTCAGTGTCTTTTTATTTGGTTTAAAGGCTCCTCCACGCAGCAGGCACACACCTGAGCTGTATTCTAGCCTGAGCTCAGTGGAGAGGACAGGAAATTGATCAGACAGGTGTGAAACCTGGAGACCCAGGGAATAATCCCCCCCTGCTGAATGAAGCAGAGGTGCAGCTCAGATGTGTTGTGTGAAGGAAACCGATCCACATGCTGATTACTAATAAAGTCATTTTACTTCACGTGGTTTTGTTTTATTCCTTCCCTCTTCCATAAGGCTCAAATGACATGCCAATTATTTAAACAAAGGATAAATTATTTCAGATGGCTTTAATGTGGGCGAATCATTGCAAACAATGCAAAAAGAGAAAAAAAAACTAAGATGAATGCAAACTTAGAATCTATCGGATGAAAAGGTTAAAGTAAACGGGCCAAAAAAGCAAACTTTTTTGGAAGATATAATCAAAAGTTTTGACATCTCAGGTGCATACAGAATCATTTATTCAGCAATTTCCCAAAATATTATCAGGTTACAACCACAAACGTCAGTCTCTTTTATTTGGATTTTAGCTTGCATGTCGTGACATTTAAAAGATTTAAAGGGGAAAATTACACGTTTTTAGAAACTAAAATTTAAAAAGTGTTTTTGTGCATATAGTCAGTCACCCCATGACAGCATGAACATTGCCCAGGGCGAGCCCCTCATCCCGTCACTACAGCGACAGAAACGGTTCCAGTTTATGAAAATGTTACACCCCCAACTGGAGCTGCTAAACATGGCACTCAGAAACTAATCGAAATGAAGATGCAACAGAATTTATTTATCCCACATGGGAAGAGTGTGACAGACTCATCTCCCAATTCTCAGCTGCAAGCAGGAAGCACCTGTCAACACAAGGGGGCAGCAACTCCCAATTCAGTGCACATCCACCCAGAAATTTGGAAACCTTCAGATGCACCTCACAGATAGAGAATTACTATTACTTTCTAAAGTCCTTCTAGTCAGATGCCCACATAAAGAAAAACTGTACATTCCTGAGTCAGAACTTAGTGAAACATTTAACATTTTTCTAATTTTACTTTATGAAACAGATCAATTCCAGTCTCATCAGAATGAGGACATCTGTTTTGAGCAATTTTCAAGTGTTGCTACAGATTCTTAACTGGCTGTAGGCCTGGACTTTGACTAGGCTATGAAAATGCTTTAAACCAGAAGACTCCATTCTTCAAACACTGCTTTGTAACTTTTAAAAATATCCCTGTTCTTACACATCTGAATCAGACTGCTGAACATATTTAGAACTAAGATAAAATACCTCTTACCCTTTGGCTTTAAAACCCTCCAAACGGTTTTGTTTACAGCTAAAACAAACTGAACAGCCACAAATTAGCTGTGAAAACCTGCAAACCAATGTAAATAACTAACTTCTTTGAATCAGATCCCAACATCAATTTCTTCCTCTGAAGAGTCTGTCCAGGTTATGTTGACAGGTACAGGGGATGGCCCCATACCTCCCACCACATCTACATCATCCTCCTCAATGACTGCTTCACATTTTTCTGTCTCAGGGATTTTCTCTGAAGTTGTCGTGCTCTCAACATGAGATGAACTAAGAAGATTTCCATTTTTCTTTGGCCTGCCACACCTTCGATTTGGTGGCCTTGTTGTCTGTACTGAATCCTCCTCCAGAAAAGGCAAAAAGTCCTGAAAAACAACGACACAAAGTTAACTTCCTCAAAGATTTAGCTTCATGTTGTTTGGCAGTGGATTCACTGGTCCTTAAAAGCAGTGCTTGCCAACAGAGACGTCATGTTACTGTGAAGTCTCGTCTCTACAGCCCCGAAATGAAACCTTAACAGCAAGATTACTATTATTACTACATACTACTTTCCAAGAGACTTTACCAATGTTATCTTGGCAACCGCTTATATTTCACCCTCAGTTGTTGTTGGCAATACATATGAAGTCATCAGTTTAGTTTCCAATTATGTTATGTTTCCAAAACAAGAAATTTAGACCAGTCTTATATTTCTCTAGGTGGAATATAAGCCCCTTGTTCAGAGGCAGCCTGTAAAGAAGAGAGCTGTGAGAAAGTGATCACAGGAAGCTGAAGAAGGCCTGCAGGCTGTTTAGATGACATCGATGCCGTGACTCAGTGTGTGACTAACTATATGATCGACTGTGTGGACAACACCATCCCCACCACAAACCTTGGATCACCATTGACCCAAAGGGACAGGAAGAAAAGCCTTCAGGGAGGGAAACGGGGAAATATTGAGACGTATACTGAAAGCCTTTAAAATCAAAAATAGCCCCAAGTTAATAAGTCTGCAAGTAAACCTTTAACTGCAAATCAGTGGTGCTTCTTCACATCCTAATAATACCCAGGGTTTCCCTCAGTGTAGTATAAGCCTGGCGGGAACCAGGCTTTATTTGTGCCTGAGCATTGTTGATTTATTAGGTTCTTTTTAATGATTCCCTTTTTTTTTTAAACACTTTATAGTTGGTGTTTAGGTATTAATCTTCAAGTCTTCCAAAAATGCATAACTATCAAATGATGTTTTTAAATTTCCTGTCAACTTTAAACATTTTTAACTCTAAAACATGGCGGGCGGCTGGAGGACTGCCCTAGCGCCCGGAGCACCAGGCTTAGCAAGGGGGAAACCCTGAATACCAGAAGAATTTGTCTTACCATAAAGGTTCATGCTCACCTGGATGTGTGGATCCCTAAATCTGCTCCTGATTGGGTAGAACTTTGTGACCAAGTGCCTTCTGAAACTGCCAAAATGGGAGTTTCCCTTTGATGGACTCTGCAGGAAATATTGCACACCAAAGTAAGAGGTGATACATTTTCTGCAAGAGCCGTTGTCACCTTTTAGCTTTGTCCAACTCATTTAATTTCTTAACAGTTGATATAGGGACCAGTTTACTGCTGCAAAATACACATTAGGTCATCTGTCACACTTTTTAATAGGAATCTCTTACTCTTATGTAATACTCTAAGTTTTCGGAGAAATTGAGCTTTGGGTTTAAATTAGCTTTAAGTGATAATCATCAGAATAAACAGAATTAAATCTCAAATATATCACTGTGTAATATGTCTATATAGGTTTTACTGTTTGAGGTGAAGTATTAATAAAATTAAATGGTATTCCAGTAAACAGTGATGACCTAGTTTTACCTATAGCTACTTTTTAGTGAGACAGACTATCATCTTCGGTTAGCTGCCATTTTTACTCTATTTAGATTACTCGGTCCTCTTAAGAAAAACTGAAATCTGGAAAACATCAGCAGGTTGCAGATAGTTTAGTCACCTTTTCCTCAGAAAGCTCACAGTTGTTTCCCTGCCGCGCCGCTCTGACTGACAGCAAGTTGTCTCTAGTCAGTTTCACCACCGGTGTCTGCTGCAGCTGCTTCTCCTGTTGATCCTGACCCGACGTGGCCTTTGAGTCCCGCGACGATGCCGGCTTCTTCACCTTTTTCTTCTCTAACGAGAACAGATACGTGTTTGACCTCCTCCTCTTCGGCCTCCTTGCTGGTGTGACGGATTTGAACTTTTTAGAGGAAACAGCTTGGGTGTCTGATAGTCCGGTATCAGCCCTCTGTACTCCAGGTGTCTGAGAGCGATTGACTATGCGCTGCAGAAAAGGTGTGTGAGAGGTTTCCTCATGAATCTTGGTTGTTTTGTAATTCCTCTGAATTGCCTGACTGGCTTCTGGAGAGATCTGAATGCAAGAGCTGGCGTGATTGCTTTCATCATGCTGCTCAAATGATTGGAGTAAGTTTTCCAGAATGTCGTTCAGCTCCCCCTCACATTGCTGCTGCAGCACTGGCATCTCACAGCTGCTAATCTGGGCCTGGTGTTTGTTTTGGATAGCAGAGTTGCCAGGAGTGTTGCTGCCTGTTGAAAGAGGAGCTTTGTTGTTTGGTAAGATGTCCAGATCCTGAAAGACCTCCTCCAACAAACGATCGATGTGCTCAGGCTGGTCCTCGTGAGGCGGAGGAGTTGGAGGAGCAAACTGTGGGCTGTAGAGACGGGATGATGCTGGGGAAACGTATGGTGCAGCATGCGAACGCATCGGTCGAATGGAGGGACTGGAAGACGTTAAAATAGGCCCATCATAGAGGTTGTTGGAGGGTGTTGGTTGGTTCCTGCAGATCTGATCCATGCCAACAGGAAGACTGGCCTGGAATCAGAGAGAGAAAACACCAATTAAAAAAAAAAAAATTCAGATACGCCCTGAAGAAAAATGTTATAAAAAGGCTAATTTAATCTTAGAGTAATTGGTAAAACAGGAGTGTGTGTTATTAGGTTTGCTGTGTTTTATTTAATATATTTTATTTTGTGGTTTCTGACCTGTAAAAAATGCTACATAAATAAAGTTTATGAACTTACTTACTCAAGAAATACACTTTCAACTGTAGATCGGCTTCAGTTCAACTTCATAAACTGTTTCCCCATAAAAAATGTCTAAGCAATGATGGGCTCTGATTGGTTTTCAGTCCAAGTGATTCACAGAAAGGGCACTGAAGTGTGTAGACAATTTGATAAAACAGTGTTCGCTCTGGCTCCAGAATATTGACGTATTAGGGCTGGGCGATACATTTAATCGACAAATCTTTTTTTTTTTTTCCGAAGATTTAATTTGAGAAAAATCAGGATTTTTTTTTCTCGTTTCCATAATTCTGAGTGGTTATATCCCTCACCTGGGCAACCTGCTGTGTGGTTTTTCTTCTCCCCCGTTGGGTGTTCGCTCCCCCTCTGCCTTGCGGCGTCTCCTGACTCTGGTCCTCCTCAAACACGTTTCCACGTCTCCTCGGCTTCTTCTTGGCTGGCTCCAGCTCCTCCCTGGTCTTCTGGTGTAGCCTCCTGCCCACAGCGCCCCCACCCTGACCTGCTCTGGGCGTCCTCACCCTCCACCTGTGCAGGAACAGTTTCTGCAGTTTGCTCACCCCAATCTCCTGCACATCCACCATCTGAGTGAACGTGCCTCGCCCCCTCCCTCTCGGCCTCCCTCTGGGTCTCCTGGTCCTCTGCTGTCCGCTCTTGGCTGCCTGGGCACCCCTTGGCTTCCTCCCTGCCCGCCCCCTGCGGGGGCTCTCCCTCTTCTCCGGGTTCAGGAAGTGGTTGATGAATCCCACAATGTTTCCCTCAAACTGCTCCACACTCTCTCCTTCCCATTCCTCTGGGTTAGGGTCGGCCCAGCAGCTCTGAGAATCGGCCACACAGGGAGCCGTCTGGGTGGAGTAATGAGGAAGAGGAGCAGGAAGAGGCGCGTACTGTGGCGTCACGATGGCGACAGATGTCCTTCCAGGTGTTGTGGATTCCTGCAGACAGCCTGGTGGAGCAGCGGTGTACTGCAGCGTTTGGTTTTCTTCGGGTGGGTAGATGACAGTGACAAGCTGATGAGAGTCTGTGTGTCCTAAACTCTGGAGGACGCTCATGTCGATGGTCTCATAGGGGACCACTGCGGGGACAGGAGGACATGAGTCGACAAGCTGTTCCTCAGTTTGAGTCCACATGTCTCTTCCTCCACCTGACACCTCCGCCTCTTTCCACATATAGGTGGACCCATCCCTCACCTCTCTCCTCCACCTGACCAGCCTCCCCTCATGCTCCTCTGTCCTCTGTGGCTCCGTTTGGACCCCCACCTCCGCGTACTGCTCTGTCCCTCCACCAAACCTTCCTCTGCTCTTCGTCACCTCCACCAAGCCGCTGATGCCGAGCTTGGCTGCAGCGTAAATGGCCTCCTGCTTCTCGTTCTCCCCCTCCCCGGCCATCTCTCCGGAGTAAAGGAGCCGGATGATGTGCAGCAGGGTGCAGGCGCCCAGGGCCTGGAACTCCAGGAGACGGCTCTGTCCAGAAGGGGGCGCCGGTGAGGACGACAGAGCCGAGGAGATGTGAGGGCTGATGGCCGACAGAATGCAACTGTGTGCTGGGACTGAAACACCTGACGGTGAAAAGATTAACATAAAAAACGTTTAAACAATATGCATTAGGAAAATAAAGATATTCCTTTAATTTGACCTTGTTCTGCAGTCACATTGAGCAAGACAGCAGCAAAAGTGCAAAGAAAACTTCCAAAAACAGCTCGGATAACTACTAATAAATGACGTTTAACTAAAGTCCTCCGGGGTTTAGAGTCCCAGTTGACGGCGTTTCAAATAAAAACCTAGAGGTTGGAGTCCTTGTCAAACGGTGTTTTTGACTAAAGTCCCAGAGGGTTAGAGCCCCAGTTAAACAACATTTAACTGAAGTCCTAAAAGGGGTTTTAATGTTTTTATCTTTTTTAATCTTTTTCAAAATGTCTTTCTCTTTCTCACTGTTTATTCAATGTCACATGTTGTTTTTATTTTAATTATGTGAAGCACTTTGAAATGCCTTCCTGCTGAAATGTGCTATACAAATAAAATTTGATTGATTGATTGATTGATTGATTGATTGATTGATTGATTGATTGATAATAAAGACCCATTTACAACATATTGCAAGAATTTCTGCTCCCCTATATGAAAACCCTAAGTAATATAAAAATTTGCACGGAACTGTTTGCAAATATTTGTCCCACAAGTAATTATCAGCAGCAACCTTATATAAATTGTCAACAAAAATGCATTTGTTCTAATTTGTGAGTGAGTTTGTACCTCCAGCTTTGAGCAAAGTGTCACAGAACTGGCTGCATTGCTGCTGCTTTCGTAGTTCTGCAACGATGAGGGCTTCGAAGCCCGGTTTCTGGTAGCACCACATTTCTCCATCCACTTCAAAGCAGGAGTCAAAAGGCACAGAATAAAGGTGAGTCAGACCAGAAGATAACACAAGTATGCTTTTTATTTCATAACAGAAAGACCCGATTATCTGAATCTTGTCATTTTCATAAAAACCCACCTGAAAATTATTTAAAATAAATTCATCACAGCATTTTTTTTCTTACAAAGACTACACTGTATTATATAAAAAACAGAAGTCACTCATATAAGTAACTATATTTTTCACTTTAAGTGTATTTTTGTCTGTCTCACCTGTATATAAAATAGTATTACAGACATAATTATCCTATTTATTCCATCACACTGACTTATGACTTTTAAAAACCATTCTTAGGCAAACTTTTACACATTAAAATAATTATATGACTTCAGTTTTACTTTAATTGTATGAGCTAACTTAATCACTTTTCGGCAGCTAGGGGTCCAGGCTCAAAGGCAAGTCGCCTGGATCAAGCACACCTGAGTTTAGCATTACAAACCTTTTGCAGGCCAAACTACAAAACCAAACTATTCAAAATAAGCATATTTAATCGGCCCTGACAGTCCAGCTGCTAGTTACCACTTCAAACACACTATAATATGCAGTCTAATAACTCTACTGAGTTTTATTGCCAAAAACAAACTCTATGCTAGCTAAATTACTATACAGTAAAACGCGCGCAGGTGTCCGACACCGTCGGTACTTACCGTCTTAAAGGGCCCTAAAATGATTTCTGAAGTCCAAAAATGTAAAGAAAATATTTTATATACATAACACGAACGTGTGAATTGAGTCTTTCTTCTCTTTTTTTTATTTTCGTCTGATTAAAAGAGGTAGAGGCCAGCCACGGGTCATTTTGGTGATCACCAGCAAAGCGGGATGGACAACGAGGCAGCAGTTTGCCACTGTCGCCGCCAGGTGGCGACAGTGGCTCTCCACAATGACCAAAACCGGACTTTTTTGGATAGTCAACTAAAGAGTGAAAATAAAGCCAAGAGGGTTTCTTTACGTACTTCCAGCTTCTTTTGTAAATCAAAACAAAACGATGAAATCCAATTTTGACTGGATTTTGAGATTTCTGTTCATTTGTAATTAAAATAGGATTGCATTTGTTGTCTTCTTTTACACAAAATAAGAAAGTGGGAGGTTTTTTTATCCACATTTTTTTTATCTTTGTGTGATTGTAAGTTACCCTTCAACAACAACAACAACAACAACAACAACAATAATAATAATAATAATAATAATAATAATAATAATAATAATAATAATAATAATAATAATAATAATAATAATAATTAATAAATATTATTACTCTTGGAAGTACCTAAAACAAAGCAAATTAAAGTTAAAGAATGTCAGAAAAAACTAAAGAAAAAAGAGAGTGGAGCAGGGGTTAACACTGAAAAAAGGCATACAAATATTAAATATTTAGAGCTACATCTTAGAAATTCAAACTAATAAAAAGCTAAATACAACAATACCGTTTTAGATGATATTTTTGTGGATTTTTTTAAATTATAAATACTTTCACAACATGATATAAGGTTTGAATTAAATGTATTAAAAGAATTGAAAAGAAGTATAGATTTCTTATATTTCCCCTTTTATTTTTCAAAAGATTTCATTTCTATAAGGAAAACAGATTACATTTTGTTTGAAAATGTAATCTCTCTCTCTCTGTAAAATCAGAAAATTATAAACCAGATTCTTTATAAAGTTAATTTGAATTTCACTACACCTAGGAACGGTTCAGTCAAGACCCATAAAATCAAGATATCATTTAAATAGTATCTATCTGACAACAGAAAGTAGGCCAAAAAAAATCAAAAAGGAACTAAATATATCCTAATATGCAGTAAAAACAAGAACTCCATTAAACCACAGACAGTGACATTATACAAAGAAGGAGAAAATATAGAACTGTGGTTTCCAGAAATCATCATTCAGATCACAAAATAACCCAGAAAAACTTCTGACGGCCTTCAGGCTTCACTAGCCTCAGTTCAGGTCCTAGTATTCAAGACTCAAGAATAAAAAAAATAAGTGTTTGGCCAAAAATGACTCCAAAAACAACAACAACAACAACAACAACAACAACAAAACACAAATGTCTGTCTCATATTACCTAGTAAATATCTTTATGATAAAAAGTTTTAGGAAAATATTCTCTGGACTGATGTCGCAGTCGTGAAACTTTATGAAACTGGCTTCTTTTTTTCAAAATGTCCCAATTCATCTGGAATAAAAATAAAGTAGCATATGAGGAAAAGATGATCATGCTGGCCGTGGGAGTAATGGGAGGTTCTAGGGCTGTTTTACTGCTTCAGGACCCGGCTGACTTGCTATAAATTGATGAAAAGGTGAACTCCTCTTTCTCTTTCGTGTTGAAGGAAAAGTTATTAGTTTGTGATCTTCAACTCAAAATAACCAAGATCATGATAACCACACTAAATCTGATCAATATGTCATAGCATAACCCTTCAATGTTGATGAATTAAAGTAATTCTGCAGGGAAAAGTGCCCCCAAGTTCCTCCAGAGAGATGTAAAGACACATTTATTGTGTGATGGCATCTGCTCGAGAGTAACAGAAACGTTGAACACATCATGGAAGTTACTTTTTCACTTGATTTTGGATCAGACAGAAAAATAAAAACAGAAGACATCCTCATAGGAACAAAAATACAAAAATCATTTTCTTTAATTTGCAACAAATATAGCAGCATGTGCATATTTTCTCCTCTATTTCCTCCTAAAAAAAAAAAAAGTATAATGGTGACTCCATTAGTTACAAAGCATAGTGCAGAATTATAAGCTGAGTCCAGTCCTGGATAACACAGCATAACAAGATTTATGAGATTCAGATTTCATTCTTCTGAAATCGTTTGTTTGTCATAACAAATTATTGATGACAGTACCAGGAAAGGCCTAAGCCATGTTCTGATATAAAAACCGCATAATCTCTCTGTGTTCAACAGCAAGCAGTTAAACAGGTGTTAAAACAAACAAGAAAAAAAACAGGCCACTGCTTGTCCACTTGTGATGGACGGCTCCGACAAAGACGGGACTCCCGCTTCCTAAGAGGTATGTTTTTGTAGGCATGTAACTCGTTCATCTGCCCATTGAGCCTTTTCCTAAGAAGATCAAAAAAAGACGGTGAGGCCCCAGCAGTCCTCACATTTATGAGTAAGTTGTTTGCGTCCTGAGCTATGGAGATGGTAACACAACACAGGCATGTGGTACTAAAACAAACAAGTGTTGACATGTTTCTGACCGCAACCAGCTCCAATTTTTGATGAGCTTTAACATCTTTGAGGCTGAAATACTGGCATCCATTTTTTAAAAAAAAAATGTATATTTCCAGTAGTTAATAGATGTTACTGTGATAATAAAATGCTAGAGTTGATAGAAGCGAACAATCTCTATAAAGCAAAAACAACAAAAAATCAACTGGTTCAGTTAAGTTACTGACTTGGCAGTATTTTTGGTTAAAAAATGTTTTTTTTTATTATTTCTAAAACTCATATTTCCCACCTCTTTTGACGGAAAACAATCTCATCATCAGAAAAGAGACACGTTTAGCAATAATTGTGCTTAATCATTGGGAACCTGGAGAAAACATTCCTGTATGACGTAACAGTTCATTCTTGGAAAGCTCTTGCTCAACTCTGACGAGACGTGTTGACGAGTCCTGCTCATCTTATTGGGAGAATATTAGTAATTTCCTCTAATCAACCTACAGATTCTTACCCAGAAGTCATTCCTACTTGATCGACACCTTTGATTAACTCGCTGACATTGTTAATTTCTCGGTGACTGACGCATCAATGGAGGCCCAAACCCTTATTCTCCCATTTAATATTTTCCACAGAAGCGACACAATATAAAACTTAACACAAACAACAAGATCTGCTTTTGGTCTTATCCCCCCAGTCAGTATTTGGAACATCCTTCGGTTACGTCGAACCAGAAAGAAGCATCTTCTCCAGTTTACGATGTATCGTTGAGTCTGAGCACACCGTTAAGGACAAACGACGGGGAGGGGACCGTGGTGAAAGCCTTTATAGGGGACGGAGACTCTTGCGGAGGAGTTGGTCGCGGCCACCGCTCGTAAAACTTGACAAAGAAGAGCGGGTCTTTGAAGGGCCCCCCGTAGATGATGGCCTGCATCAGATAGACGAGGGCCACAACCATGAAGCTGATGAGGAAGAAGGGGAGGAAGGGCCTCAAGTGGTTCCAGGCAACACCGACTCCGTAGCTGAGGTTGCTGAGCCCGCTCTGGTGGCCGGTGTGGGTTGTGTGGCGGGAGGAGTCTGGGGCCGGAGCGTTATCCGAAGGCTCCTCAGGTGAATTTGAAAAGGACGAAGAGGGGCCCTCGGGTGAATCCATGGGGTTGTAACTGCAACACAAGTCCTTTCTTTGCACCCAAACCTATACTGTAGGTACTCACATTACTCCCCAGAAAAAAGAAAAAAAAAAAAAAGGAACAGCCAGTGAGATTATGAAGAAGTAAGGATGAAGCCAAACTTAATCTCCCCTGTGCTGTGGCTCCTCTGACGTGGACTCCTGCTGTGATTAATCCAAAGATAAAATCCCTCAACAAACCAGTCGTTGGTCTCCCGTCCGGCAGGCCTCCCAGCCGAATCCCCCACCCCGTCAGATAAACTGCGCACTGACATTAAATGTTCCTCCTTCTCTCTGAGCTCCGGACGGACCGAGAGGAATCAAAGAGCAGCAGGGAAGCCATAAATAGATTTGACACCCAATGACAGGACACGTGTAAGGAAGGGTGCTGCTGCTACTTTTGGTGATCTCGGTTTTAATGGCTGCGTGTGTGCCCGGAGAACAGGTTAAAATATTATACGCACACACACACACACACTCACGCACACACACGTACGTACGCGGGGTGGCTAACAGAGACATGCACACACATGCAGGTCAGAAATGTGCAGTGACAGGACGTTAATGTTTCCCACTTGTTTATTACAGTTCTAATAATACAGCTTTGACTAAAGAGTTCTTACATTAAGACAGGTGCAGCTGGAGGATTTCACAGCTAGTTAAAACTTTATACCATCTCAATGCTCTGTTAAAACGCCATCATTTACTTATTTGGTGTATTTTAAACCCTGCAGTTAAAAATATAGTTCGCCTTAAGAACATGTCAACAGGATGGCAACATTTAAAGTGTCTTGTAAAAATGTTTTTCGCATTTTATCATCTTGCAGCCACAAACATGAATGTACATCATTGGGCTGGGTTTTATTATGGAAATAAAGCATAACTGATTTGTTTTACGAATAAAATGTGAAAAGTCTGGTCATTCATTTGTGTTAAATAACCGGGAGTGAATGTTTGGATCTACCTTGTCTTTGCTCTCACAGCTGAAGGTCTTTGCAGGTGTAGAAACCAACATTTTTCTCCATCCTTGCTCAAATATTTTAAGCTCAGTTAATTAGCTAAAGTGTCTGTCATCCCAGCCCAATAACATGCTTTGCTCAAAAGCAATCCGTTGCAGCTCTGGCTGCATGTTTAAGGCCATTGTCCTGCTGAAAGATGAAACCTCCTGCAATCTCAATCTCTAATCTCCAGTGAAGTTCAGAGTTTGAAATCCAATCCAATCTCAAGTCTAGTGAAGCTTTTCTTTCGTGATTACCCTGTATTTAGTTTTTCTTCTTGTCATTACAAGGTACATATATATTTTTTGACTAAATGCCAAAAAGCTTAACAGTTCAGATGAAATTTTCAGTCTCAAAGTTTTGCCTCACAATTTTTAGTTTTCTTCTTTGCCTCACAACTTCGACCAGCCAGCTGCCTTCATGGCTTTCTAACACTCACAGAAGACCTGTATGTTTACAATTTATTTAAACAAACATACATGTGTTTGAAAGATATATATTCCTCTTCCTTCAACTTCACATT